ACGTGTATGTATCAATTCACGTGTGGCTGTGGAGCCTGGTACATCGGTCGTTCCTTATCTGTCCTGTCAAAAAGGGTCAAAGAACACTATCCCACAGCATGGCAGTAGAAAGGAAGTAGTGGCCGTATAAGAAGTGCAATAATCGAACATCTCTTCAACACTGGTCATTCCATCTCAACAAACGCTTCCTGCTTAAAAGTAATCTACAAAGTGAAGAACAACCTTCAAAAGACAATACGTTTCCGTCTTCTTTGCATTATAGAAGCCTTAGCCATTGAGTTGGAAGAACCAGAACTATGCATACAAAAGAAAATTATTCAACCACTTCTACTTTCATGGTAACAACTCTGTGGGTTTGACTTAAATTTTGCTTGTATGCTTATTTTTCTAACTACGTGAAACACTTGCGTAATCCTCTATGTTATTTTGTTTCCATTTAGACCTTGAGCACAACTCTTTCATCAAACTATTCATGTTGTTCTTATGTAACTCTTCTTTAACAATCGTTTGTGGCAACTCATCAGTTTTATTACTACCCTCTTATATCAACAACTTCCAATTCATCTGAACTTACTGAGTGTATTTTCCTTTAACAAACTTAATGTACACCCACATATATAAAACAACGATATATATATATATTTGTGATTGTACAGCTATGAAAATGAATTCTCCGGCGAAAAGAGACTCTTCGCTGAACTACTTGTCTTCATTCTGAGTATCTTTCTCTTCTTCAACAATAACATAGTGATGGGAAAAGACATTTGCCCAAAAGAATCAGTCACCTTTCCCCTTACAGAGGATATGTATATGAAATGCTAATTATTTCTAGGGGTGTAGAAAGCCTAACCGAGGTTGTATATATGTTACTCTGGATTAATAAAGCGAAAATAAAGCCTTTCCGCAGCTTCACCTAGGAATAACTGGTTGATCCACACCATCAAGCGGGCCAACAAACTAATTGTGTGGTGAGAGCTGGCTGAGAACAAGCCAAAATTGTAGGCAACAATTTGCGTCAGTGTTCACGTGCCAAATCAGGGTCATGGGGAAAACAGTAACTAAGCATAACCTTGAGAAAAGATCACCAGCCAATCACAGCAGACTTAACGTGTGGAAATATGATTCGCAGATATATGGCTTGACCGTCTGAGAAAGGACCACAAAGAGAAAACAGAATAACCTTCAGCAAGAAAACAACCAGTCAAAAGACGTTGCTTCTCCGTTAACAATAATGTACATGAAAATCTATAAATACCTGTTATTGATTTTCTCAATAAACAATCTGTTGCCTGGCCCTTGTCTTCTATTATTACAATTTTACTGTTATCTACAGGTTAGGCGAGAATCTGCTGAAAAGTATGTCAATGAAACCACTTCAAATTACAGCAGGCTATGACAGTTGGCGTCTAAAACCCTGAACACTGCCTATAGATGAGATTTATGGTTAGTTCAGCCAGTGGATCATTTCGCTGGTGAAGATTTTTGTTTAACTGTGTCGCTACCTTATAATTCAAAAATTTATTTGGTGAGAGCTCTACTCAAAACTTTCAACCAGATAGAATAATCTAACTTAGTTGTTTAACCAAACTTTGGCCCTGACAGATATTTATGTCATCACATCTCATTGCCCCGAGCTTTAATCAAAACGGAATTTTGATATTAAATGTTTAAAACATTTTTTGAATGCAAAGTGGCCATAATATAAGGTTTCTATAGTTTGGTTTGTAAGGGTTAGTTTTTTTTTTACGAGTTGATCACTGATTGATATCAGTTAGAGAACCATTGGAAACCAGACACAGGGAGTACTGGACAGCTGTTTCATCCTAGTTGGGGAATCATTGGAATTACGCAGCCACCACAGAACCTAGGACCTTCCGGCTACAAAGTAAGCTCGTATACCATTCAGCCACCATTGGGACCCGATTCAATGACTTATGAATTCTAACTTCGACCAATTCGTGATTTAGCGCAACCCCAACCATTGTCGTTGGTGGGACATCACACGTGATATCTGGATGGACCTCACCGGTCACGACTTCTCACTAGAACTGCAGCAAGCTCGATCTTGTAGCACGTCACTAGTGAGCATCAGATTAATTTTCTATAGTTTGGTTTGAATTAATCACATACAGCCTAACATGTATTCACAAAAAGTAATAGATTTCAATCTTCGCCTACCATGAACTACTTGACCTATTTAAATATTATTGGTCATTAGTATGTACTTTTGTTTTTTATTTAACTGAGTGATTGTCATGCACTTTATTTTATTTTATTATTGTTAACCATGTTGGTTGTAAAGCGGTTGTAAAGAAACTACGAAATGACGATATCATCTCGCTAAATTTATCTTCTAAATGCCTCATTCAAATTTAAAAACTAGTGTGATTTTCAAGTTCGTAGACAGCGAATATTAAATTAGAATATTTCAATTAACTGTAAAACACTGCAGTTATGTGAAATAAATATTCATTCCAAATTGGCGGGTGTCATAATTCATATTCCACTGGATTCCAATGTGGGGGCTGAATGCCAGACAGACACTGAGTTCTATTTCCCAATGAGGTCATGAACCAGTACTTCTAAACCGTTGTAAGTTGGGATGAAGCAGCTTTGATTTGCAGGGGTTCTCTAACTTCTATCAACTTATATGTGAAAACTGGAAATAAGTTATCTACGTACCTGTATATATATACACTATCTAGTAGAAGGGACTTTCAAGGTGAAACTAAAAGCCTCGAGGATAGCTGGGGATAGGCTACAATGCAAGTTCAACACTCAATTACTGAAGGACACAACCACAAAAGACACTTTCACTGCAACTGTCAGAGCAAAGCAGGAAACACTACGCGACATCACTGAAGAATCATGCGTGGAAGAACATTGGAAGTCTCTGAAGGCGATTCTCAACGAAACGTGTTCAACGGTTCTAAGAAGAAAGAGGAGAGAAGGCAAGGAATGGCTCTCAACGGACACTGGGAAATTAATAGAAGAGAGGAGAATGGTGAAAGAGAAAATGATTCAATGCAAGGACGGACAGGAGAGGGAGACGCTGAGCTCAACTTACACAGCACTGGACAAAGAAGTGAAGAAGAGTGCTAGGAAGGACAAAAGACGACTCTACGACAACCTGGCTACTGAAGCTGGGGAGGCAGCAGGCAAAAGGGACCTGAGGACACTATATCAGATAACCAAATCTCTTTGCGGGAAGAGATCAACACAAGCGAAACCTATAAAAAACAGCCAAGGGAACCCAATTACCAAGGAAGAAAAACAGATTAAACCATGAGCGGATCACTTCAAAGGACTCTTGAACCCACCACCACCTCCAAACCGCCCAGAAATACCAACAGCAGCACGTACACAACTGCAAGTTGACACCAATCCTCCAACGAGAGCTGAAGTCTTGAACGCAATCAAGCTTCTGAAAGCTGGAAAAGCAGCCGGACCAGATGGAATACCTCCTGAAGCACTGAAAGCGGACCCAGGGACTACAGCAGACATGCTGACTCCATTATTGCAAAAGTTCTGGAAGGGGGGAAAGGTGCCTACTGACTGGAGGAAAGGTTACCTCGTGAAACTAACAAAGAAGGGCGACTTGGGACCCACTCTGCAAGAACTGGCGAAGAATCATGCTCCTATCGACGCCAAGTAAAGTCCTGAGTCGCATCATACTGGGGAGAATAAAGGACGCACTGGATACAGAACTCCGACCAGAACAAGCTGGATTCAGGAAAGGCAAATCATGTACTGACCAAATTGCAGCTCTACGCATCATCATAGAACAAAGCATGGAATGGCAATCAAACCCATACCTCAACTTTATAGACTTTGAGAAGGCTTTCGACAGACGCGTTGACCGCTGAGTAATTTGGAAATTACTCGAGTACTACGACATACCCAAAATATTCATCAACCTTATTCAACAGCTGTACGACAACGGCACATGTCAGTCAAGTGATCCACAACGGAAAACTCAGCGAGGCGTTTGGAGTAAACACAGGAGTCAGACAAGGGTGCTTATTATCACCAATGAAATATTCCTAATCGTGGTGGACAGGATTATGCGTCAGACAGTGGGAAACGAGAAGACAGGAATATCCTGGACCGACGTAAAGAACCTAGAAGACCTGGATTTCGCGCGTGGATGCTTTATGCTTGATGTCACACAAAATCGAAGACTTACAAGCGAAAACCGACAAACTGGTCGAAGAAGCAGCCAGTGAAGACAGGACTTCAGGTGAACATAGACAAGACGTAGGTTATGAAAATAACCAACCAACAACAGCAACAGCATCCAACGTCAATCACCATCAACGGGGGGATTTGAAAGAGGTTACTTCATTCACTTCACTTATCTGGGGAGCATTGTCTCAACTACAGGAAGTCAGAACGGACGAGGATGTCGAATCGAGCTAGAATAGGGGAGGCGAGAAACACATTCATCCACCTGAAATCAATCTGGAAATCTTCGTCACTCAGCATCACCAACAAAATTCGGATCTTCAATACAAACGTAAAGTCAGTTCTTCTATACGGATCAGAAACGTGGCGGGTCACAAAGAATATTTCCAAAAGGTTGCAGACCTTTATTAACAACTGTCTTCGCTCTGTACTGAAGATCATATGGTCGGAAAGAATCACAAAGAAGGAATTATGGGAACAAACAAAGCAAGAACCAATCGCCCAACAAATATGCAGGAGAAAGTGGAGATGGATCGGACACTCGCTGAGGAGACCGCTGGGTGACATCGCGCGTCAAGCCCTCGAGTGGAACCCGAAAGGGAAGCGGCGTGTGGGATGTCCAAGGGTGACATGGAGGAGATCGTGTGAAGAGGAGTTGAAAGAATATGGATTAACATGGATGCAGGCGAAAAGTATTGCAGAAGACAGAAGAAAATGGAGACGTGCAGTTGAAGCCCTATGTTCCACTAGGAACCCAAGGGAGCAGTAATAACAATAAATATATATATATATCGAAATAAAACACTTCAACTCACCCAACATTTCCCCTTAATGCAAATATCATCTCTTTGAGAATAACATGGGGTACCGTCTGGCAAGGTAAAACTATGCGGAACAGAATGTGAATTGTACAGACAGATTAGATTGCATGATGTAGGCTCACCGACTGTGATCAAGAAAGGTAAACATGATATATTCAGTTAGATAATTCATAGAGAACGTTATGATACTATTACTTATTTATTAGTAGCTCAAAGAATATGCCACAAATGAGCTAAATAAAACTGTACTCTTATGTTAAAAAAATCAATTTGCTCGTAGGTTTTGAATTGATTGAAATGCATTGCCTAGGATGTGTAACTATAACTGTAGAGAAGTCGAGATATCTGGCGGGCTGCTTTAGTTACTGTGCTACGCGAATTCCAGTCTAACTAACTAACTAACTAACTAACTAACTAACTAACTAACTAACTAACTAACTAACTAACTAACTAACTAACTAACTAACTAACTAACTAACTAACTAACTAACTAACTAACTAACTAACTAACTAACTAACTAACTAACTAACTAACTAACTAACTAACTAACTAACTAACTAACTAACTAACTAACTAACTAACTAACTAACTAACTAACTAACTAACTAACTAACTAACTAACTAACTAACTAACTAACTAACTAACTAACTAACTAACTAACTAACTAACTAACTAACTAACTAACTAACTAACTAACTAACTAACTAACTAACTAACTAACTAACTAACTAACTAACTAACTAACTAACTAACTAACTAACTAACTAACTAACTAACTAACTAACTAACTAACTAAAACTAACTAACTAACTAACTAACTAACTAACGAACTAACTAACTAACTAACTAACTAACTAACTAACTAACTAACTAACTAACTAACTAACTAACTAACTAACGAACTAACTAACTAACTAACTAACTAACTAACTAACGAACTAACTAACTAACTAACTAACTAACTAACGAACTAACGAACTAACTAACTAACTAACTAACTAACTAACTAACTAACTAACTAACCAACTAACTAACTAACTAACTAACTAACGAACTAACTAACTAACTAACTAACTAACTAACTAACTAACTAACGAAATAACACACTTTTAAATTGCCTTTAATTTCTTGGAGGCGAAAGAAGACTTCAAATCATTACACCCGATCGACGCAAAGATTTCAGTTGTGTCAAGTCTTTGTAGACGAGCACACTCTCTGATAGCGGATGAGAAAGAAAAAGAAATATCAAACATTACTGAAATTCTCAAGCAAAATAATTACTTAAAGAACTTCATCAACAAAATCAACAAAGACTTTAGGTATGGCCGTAAACGCATTCCGAATACATGGACCTAAACGGTTGTCATTCCATATAGAGCAGAGATGTCTGGTGATATCAGAAGAGTACTCAGTCAGCTTGACATTAGAGTTTTCTTCGAAACATCAGACACACTACAAATAAACCTTGTACAGATAAAAGACCAAATCCCGAAAGATTCCCTACCTAATTTTGCGTATAAAATAAAATGCTTGGAATTTGATGCGATATACATCGGACAAACATCACTAGTGAAACACCGAAATCAGAAAAGATGAACACCATGAAACCGCATCTGTTGAAGCACCGAGAAATCCGGTTAGTGAACTAGAAAAGCTTAAAAAATCAACAGCCATAAGTGGTGGTCAGGCCACAAAATTGATTTTGACAATATTGAAATCATCGAGGAAAATGTCAGAAATCACAAAGAACGTCTAATATCAGAAGCACTTCATACTTAATGGAATCCAAATTGTTTGAGTAGAACTGATGGACTAAAACAGAATTTGACCTGCTTAAAACACCCCCTCCCTTCCCCATGAAGTGACAAGATCAACACGAATGTGATATGCGATTTCATCATGTAAACAAGCGCTGCTTTTATAATTTTACACACTGATCGTATCCAACAATCTTCACCTAGTTTTGTTATTTTTACCAACTGACCGAATTGACAACAAAAAATGACCTCACACTGACGAATGATGATCAAGTTAGTAAACTTTATTTTGATATCATAACAGACTTACTATTACCGTTTTGTTATTTTTTAAGTGATCTTTATTGTTATTTTGACTTTCAATATGTCCTTTTAACTTGACCTAAGTCTATTTTCACAACCCTTAACTTCTTTTATGTATATGCTTTTTATATATATATGTAAAACTCAAGTTTCAAAGTCGTGTGATTACAGTTGATATGATTATGAACAATAAATTGTGTTCGAAACATTGTCATCCAGTAAATAATAATACTGTTTCACTGTGTGATACATCTAATAAACAAACTAATATGATATATATGCTGAGATTTTGTAAATTCCGGTTTAATAATACCAATTTGATAAAGCTATTAACAGCAGCATTAAATAGTGAAACTTCAGTAAAACACAACAATATCGTTTTGTTTTTCATTCATTGGGAAATACAAAACACTTTTATTATAGCGAGAGAAGAACGTTATAAGAGATTAGCTTTTTCTTCAGATAACTCTGCATAGTGTTACACGATATAATATAAATGACTCTTCTATTTGGAGATCCTGGATGTAGAGAAAATATCACGCAATATTATGCTTATCAACTGAACGGCGGCCTGCTGAAACGATTGAGCTACCAGAATTAGCATTTGTCGAAATGCTTAAATTATTCTGCATTTCATATTGTTTTAGTCGTGCACTTATATCATGCGATCAATACATTAAACTCGCGCGCAAATTTTGTCAGCTCTCAACTAGACACTGTGCGATTCTTGAAATAAATAAAGAAAAAACTTACAGAATTGGTTGTCTCTTTATTTGCGACAACGCTACGTCATAAGATCTGTTTCAGATTATCCATTCCCGACAGATAGCTGCTACCTTGACGTAGTGGTTGGGCTTGCACATCACGATGACCCACCAAGCTACACTGGCTGGAAGCAATGTTCCTGTAGGTCCTAGCATGCCAGGAAGGTTGTTAGGATAGCGATTAGAATAAAAGCCGTTACCGGCATAGTGTAAGAATCTTTCTTACACTATGCGGGGGGTCTGTGGGCGAAGTCGTACTGCTGGAGAACAGGGGTGTAACAGCAGTGAGGTGTTTCTCTCAGATGACCAGCATACCAGCCAGCTATGCTGTCTCTCCACTCTCGAGAAAAGAGGTTAGAAAAGGTCGACCTCAAAAATTGTACATCCCGGTTTACCCTACGGTGGTCCGTAACCGGCGGTGAGTTTACCAATACGGAACCAAACCAAGAAACCAGTTCATACAGGTCGTGTGTGACCGGCTTCAAGCAGTTGTCCCTTGGGCTCTGCGGTCACGCAACACTAACTTTCTCTCTGTTTCAGGTACCGGAAGAATCAAGCAACATCCACGGTGTGGTCAGCCGGGAAGTAACAACCACTCACATACTTCCGAGAGCACACGAAGTCTTCCTGACAGACAGATTATCACTTCTCATGAGAATCGCGTACAAATAGGAAATATTTTGAAACTAAATACTCTGAAAACTTCTGTAAGCTTTGTTGACATAGTGTCTGAAATAACGCTTTATTATTATTGTTGTTAAAATAAATTGCTCTTGGAGCTCTGTACCTTTTGTCAGGGATACACCTGTTGGAAACCATCACTGATTTGAACAGTCTACAACAGCTGTTATTACTCAGTGCTGTTCACCAGACTACTTGAGTAGATGGTTTTATTGATGTTATAACATTTAGACAGAGCTTTTCAACGAGAAATTTGCTTCTATGTTATATCCTGGCTTGTGTTTCATTGCTCTGGCTACAGAGCACACTGGCTTGCGTCTCCTTCTACAATCTGGACTCTCCCATAAGAGTGTGGTCGTTTGTCGTTGAAATGACGGTTCAGAATCAAGGCTAGATATTCAAGAATAAATATACCTGGGAGACAGATCAGCTTAAGGGATTCTTTTCTGTCCCAACGAAGATTATATATAGATATTACTTTTTAATGGAACCTGATTTGGTTTGTTGTATTTCCCTAAGCTTGCTGATCAGTTTGAGGACTGTTGCCTTATTTGCTTGTTTTGTTGTTTTCGTGATTTATTTTCATCTCCTTTAAGAGGCTTATAAGTTATCATTTATCATTTTGGGGACTGGCAAGTAAAAACTGGATGGAAATCTACGTAAACATCACGGTCAGAAGGCTTGAAAAATGGTGTGAGTATTATTTAAGATTTTGCTTAAAAATAAAACTTCCTTGTGCGTTCAAAATGGAATACGTTGATCATTTTATTTCCATATAGAGTTTAAGCTTTCAGTTTATTATACTTCAGCATGAATCGACATCAGTATGAGAATCAGCGAATGTGACTGTTATCGTTTCGAAACAATATATTCAAGTTAAAATTGATGATATACCTTATTATTTCCTTTAATTCCTAGAGGAACATAGGGCTTCACCTGCATGTCTGCATTGCGTTCGGTTCTCTGCTAAAGTCTGCCCACATGCTTTCATCTCCTCTTCACATAACCTCTTCCATGTCACCCTCGCACTGGTGACTGATTCGCCGCTTCGCGTTTGGGTTCTACTCGAGCTATGGCCTGGCGTGGGATGTCACTGGATAGTTTTCTCAGAGTATGGCCAATCCATCTCCATTTCTTCCTGCATATTTGTTGCACAATCGGTTCCTACTAGGTTGGTTCGCTCCCAGAGATCCCTCCATGTCGCTGATCATTTCTGACCTGCCATCTGATCTTGAGTATTGAGCGAAGGCGGTTATTGATGAAGGTCTGTAGTTTGTTCGGAGTTCTCTTCATGACGCGCTAAGTCTATGATCCGTGTACAGTAGCACTGACTTAACATTGGAGTTGAAAATCAGGATCTCATTTTCATTTTCATGCTGAGTGCTTTTGACCTCTACACAGACTTGAGAGTAATGAAAGCTTGTCTTGCTTTCCCGATCCTTTCTTTGAAATCCTCATCATTTCCATCCGTCTGTAGTTGAAACGATGTTTCCCAGGCAGGTAGGTGAAGGAGGTTGCCTCTTTCAGATTTCTCCCATTTATGCTGATTGTTGTCTGTTTTTGTAATTGCTGTTGGTGTTGGCCAGGAATCTTCATCATCTCTGTTTTCTCTATGTTA